CTGATAAGTACTTTATCTGCGACACAACATCTGTTCCGTAAAGTGACAGGCGTGAAAAACTGGTAAGGCTTACACTTATGTGTCCTATTCAAAGAGGTTAGGTCTACAAAAATTTGACTTTACAATCATGCGCTGCTCTGTGGTAGTAAGGTGAAAAAGTATAACAGATCTAGTAAACTTTAGAGTTGTTGCAGAACATGTTGCTGGTTCAGCAGAACAAACAGAAACAAAAACAAGACAATAAATCAATTTATCACATGGTAAGTTAAAGCAAGTTCAAATATTTCTATTTGCATGATTTATCATTTTTCTCCCTTTCTTGCACAGGGAGAACATGCAAACTCCATGCATAAAGATCAGGGCTGGGAATCGAACCCAGAACCTTCTTGCTGCAAGGCAAGAGCTCTACCAACTGCGTCACTGTGCGTCACTGTCCCTGCTTTATTATGCCATTACCAATTGAAAATGGTCTCAAAATAATAATATTATCATTTATCACTAAAACTTCTGCAACAATTTATCGTTCAGTCAACTTTAACATCGTGACAAACCCAAACATACCTGAGAGCAGTAGCCAAGGATCACCAGCCCACTGATGATGAAGATGAGCATGAACTGTTAAAAAAGAAAAAAAAACACAAAGGGAGTGTTCAAATGTTTCATAAACTTGTGAATATTACAGCTCTGGTATCCGTTTACCATCTGCAGCATCACTCCTGCCATCACTCCTCCAGCCATGCTGAAGGCTGCAGGGAAGTTGAGCAGTCCCGCGCCCAGAGCGGCGTTCACCACGATGAAGACGGCACCCAGAGCCGACACGCCCCGGCTCCCCTCTTCTGCCTCGGGGTGCCGGGCAGAATCCACGCTGGGGCTCTGCAGGAGCCACGCTCGTTCTCCGGAGTCGCTGCTGCCGCCGATGCCGCCCCAGTCTTCAGCATCAGTGTTTATCGCCATGAGGAAAGGAGCCGAGAGAGGACCGGCGTCAGCTGGAGGGCAGCGGCGTTCCGCTGAAGTCTCTAGGCCAACTGGAGGGATCCTGGAACGGTGAGGCTGTTTACTTTATTCTGCAATCAAATATTGATTATTGGGATTGCTAGATTGTGGGATTGTATGTGGGATTTCCTGTAAAACTCCACTCACTGATATCAGCAAGAGCAGTTCCTAGCAAAAGCATGAATACCCCTTGAACTTGTCCAAATTATAAATTTCATTGTACTATTTTGTGTTTTCTGATGACAGAGTAACATCAAAATATTTTTGCATAATTGTGAAGTGAAAAGAAAATTTTCATTTTTTTTTTTTTTTTTTACAAATAAAAGTCTCAAAACTACACCTTCAGGTCCCTTTCATGTAGTTATTAAAAAAAGACAGGTGTGCCAAAGAACATTAGTGAACAAGGATCAACATGCACAGCAGATGGATGTGGACAGGTTTAAAAGCAAAAGTCAGGTTATAAAACAATACTTTAATTCAGTTCAGTTTATTTCTGCATTCCAATTGGTCCTACCTATCAAATAGCACAGTATGCTCAATTAAATATTTAAAGGAGATTAAGACGTTTCTACCCAAGGAAACCCAGAAGATTGCATCGAGTCATAGATTTGCAGCAGCCACTCCTCCTGAACCAGGAGTTAATTAATATGGCACATCACTATGAACACACCATTCTTATAGAATGATTCATAATCATGCGTAGAAACTGATGAAAGTGCGAAGCTTAAATCCAATCCACAAATCTGTAAAAATAATTCTCTGAACGCAAAGAATTATTTTTTTAGTTTTGACTGAACTATTCTGGAAAGGAAAATAGTCAAAAACTTCTATCTGAAGAAGGGCAGGATACAAATTCATGTTCTGATTTTTATTTGCAAATAACAGAAGAAGACCAATTCTTCTTTTTTTGGCAATTTGTAAGGGTTTATAACATAAAACCTCATTAAAATACATTGAAGTTTTGGATGTAGCAGGACAAAAAATAATTTTAAGGGGTATGAATAGATCTCTAAAGCAATAGTGTCAAATAAATTGTTATCTCTAAAAACCCCACCACCTCCTTCAATTCTAACTAACACATCATATAAAAAGCTGCTAAACTTTGATCACGAGTGTTTCCTGAAAGACAGAAACCGGGGTTTGGTTTATACTTCCCATACTTGCGAAACTACTAAGAATCAGATTTAAATGGACATATTTTTCTTCCTTCAGATAAGATCCGAACAAAAAGGGTTGGGGACAGGTAAAAACAGACAAATGTCATTAAACTTAAATGTGAAGGTAGGGCGCAATAATGGATTGAATCATTGCGTTTTAAGCAATGATTCCATGCACATTTTCCATGCACATTGCGTCTCCGTGTAGCGACACTTTAAAATGTTAAAACAGAGGTAAATACATATTTCAGGAACGATGTGAATCAATAAACTGCAACTAATGAGGAAAAATAACACATGACCTAAATTGGGTTTCCTTCTGCTTCCAAACAGAATCACGCCACGGGCATTTTATTGTTTAGCTTGACTAAACAATAGTCAAGATTCTTTATCGTCAACAGACCATCGGCGTTTATCAGGGCAGCAGCCATGCCCTTTGTTATTATGCTAAGCTAGCAAACGATCTCTGAACGTTAAATACGAATAACAATCTCGCCAGCAACATAACACATTAAAATACACCAACCTGATTTAAAGTTACTGTAACCCGTCAGCTGTCAAGGAACGAACAACACAAAACACTTCAACCTTCTCCATCGGCTCACCCTCTCAATAATGCGGCGCTCTAACGCTTTTAGCGTGGCTGACGTTGCTGACGTTGCTGTCACGTGACTTCTTTTGAACTCTGGTTGATATAGTTTTCCACGATTTGATTAAATTACGTACCTAGAATGTGGAAATGATCGTATTATGCTAGTTTTAAATATTTTTAATATAGTTATGATTAATATTTATGTATTTGTAGACGCTTAGAAAGTGAAAGAAAAGTATTTGTAAGTATTTTGAAATCAAAGAAAATGTGAAAAATAAAATTAAGAAAAGGTCAAGTTTAGATAGCGAAATAATGAAAATATTAATGATATACAAGCATGAATAAAGTTGAGATTTATCAATGCTGGTAATAGTGCTTACTCTTCTAGAATTTCATTAAAAAACAAATATCTCAGATTAATGAAGTAATATATAAATGTACTCAATTTAATGTTTAATATTCAGATAACAGAAAACAGTAAGATAGAAAAAAAACTGCAATTTTTAAAAACCCATCTAAACTTTTAACAAAATTAATTTAATCTATGTATGTTTGCAAGAATTTGAATGCTAATTGATCAAGGAATGTGCAAAGAAGCAGATAATATATTTATATTTGTGGTGTAAATGGTTAAAAAAAATGGCAGAAATAGCCAAAAATGTTCCATGAATGCTGAAAAAAATTCAAGTAAAGCCAAACATTTCTCTATATGGATTTATTGTTTGTTCAGTAAGGTAGATGACCCATGTTTAGTTTCAGACAGGAAGCGGAGAATGGAGACAAAGTTCCAGGAATATCAGCAAATGACACCACATTTATAAATGCCATCCGTGTCTCAATGTTTCGGCCATAAAGAGATTTAAACACTCAAATATAGCATCTGGACAAATGAGACTTCTTCTGTACATGTTTCTTTTAGATTACTTTGGATTACATGGACATATGTTTTGTGGTTTGTTGACATGAAAATACGCATACAGCATTTAACTACCTCCAGTGAACTTTACACTCAGTACTTCCATTTTACTCTCGACTTTTGTGCTCTTTCTTTTAACCGTGATGTCAACTGAGAGACTGCTGCTCTGTGAAGGAAAACTGAAGATCTCACAGAAACGTACAGGAAAAGTACCGAATGCAAACAAGATAACCGAGTCATTTTAAATACAGAGGCTAAATAACAGTTTGATGAAATTAACAAAAGTGAACTGATAACCAGATCAATGCCTATTCTCACAGTAAAACCCAGCTACAAAAGCAAATAGTGCCACGCATTTGATAAAGTGCTAAAACACCACCAACATAAATTTTCTAAAGATTTTCACAAAGCAACAGAGATCTCAACTTGCACCTAAAGCTAACATGCATTATCCCAACGTTGCAGCGTAATGCATGAGGGTCAAGAGCAAACATTTAGAGGGACAGAAGTGCAGAGTCAGCAGCTGATTGCTCAGAATAAATAAAGACTATCAGCTCAGTCACAACCTTTTTGAAAATGGCAAAGGGGCATCAGTTCAGTGAAAACTTGCAGAAAAACAAATGTTCCATGTTGAAATGATTATGAAATCCAGAAGAGAAAAAGTGAAACTAAGCATCAACCCGTCCTCTAAAGGTGGAACAGAGGGACACACAAAAAGCTCCTCAACACAGCAGCTTCGATTCTGTTCTTCTTCCAGTGCGATCTGCTCTACTTGGTGACCGCATGGATCCCCTCTGCCAGGTAGCCCACATTTGCGGACGTCACGCCCGCCATGGAAATCCTGCCGTCTTTGGTCATGTACACCGAGAACTCCTTCGTCAGGCGCTCAACCTGCAGGAAAAACAAAAACAAAAATGCAGCAGAGCTTAAAGAAGTGCTGGTAAAAAAAAAAAAAAAAAAAGCTTCTTTTTTTTTTTTTTACCCTTCCACGGATCTTTGATTTAATAATCAGACAGGCTGCACCAAATTGGTGCTGGAGTGCCTTTACAGTAAGCATGTTAACTTCAGCAGGGCCTCAAACTGAACCCATTAAAGGTAACCTATTATACTTCCTCAAACTAGTTAGGTCTTCAGAGAACATGCTCATCACATTTTGTGCACAAAATCATTCTCGTATGATGAGATTTTAGTCTGATCAGTTCTGCATCATTCAGGGTGAGATTTTTAAGGGCCTCCTGTCACTTTAAATCCAAACACGCTGCTGCTAGTCACGACCCAATCAACATTCAAATATTGTCACATCTATTTTATCCTCAAACTTCTCATTTTTAAGCTCAATATGTCGGTCTAGCTGATTTCCAGGAAAAGATAAATCTGAGTCATCCAAGAAGGAGGAAAATCTCTTGAAGAATCCTCTTGAAAATAAAACTACTGATCAAAACTATTTTGAAAGATCACAAACAGATCTGGCTCCGTTAAACCCAAAATATTAATTAGCTGCAGTTTTACATTTTTACCCAGTAGATTTCCATTATTCCCTCACATTATTCCTGCTGGTACCTGTTCGGGTTTGAGGCCAGTGAAGCAGAACATGCCGATCTGATCGGTGACGTGCTGCCAGTTGTGGGAGGAGCCCTGCTGCTTCAGACCCGCCACCAGCTGTTCCCTCATCTTGATGATGCGGTTGGCCATGCCATGGACTTCCTCCAGCCTGCCAGCACAAACAGAACAAGAAAAACCTGTTTAAACAACAACAAGGTGCCGTGGCACATCTACCCCTTCAGTTTTATGTTCTTACACACCTAATCCAGCCACAAGATTCAACATATTTTGATTGGATTTTGTGAAATAGAGAAGATAATTTAGTGAAAGGGAAACAAAGTTTTTAAAAATGTATTCTGAAAAATGTAGAATTCTAATTAGGACTCAGGCGATAAATTAGATTAATTGTGATGACTCAACTATTGACATAAGCTGCGGAATGTGGAAATGTTCTTATTTAATGTATTGATTAATCGTCACAATAAACAATAGATTAATCAATACTACAATAATCATCTGTTGTAGCTCTAATGAGCTGAATAAAAACACTATTTGTGAAACATGTTCCTCAATCCTCCCTATGCACTTACAGAGCTGGTCTATTGCACAAAATATATGGAAGTTTATGCCTTAAACCCGACAAAATGTGGAAACGTTCAGGTGGTAAGAAAACAATCCAGCGTGGCGTTTCTGGGAGATGTCTGCTTTCGGCTCAAGTTCAGCTTCTGTGTTAATATTTTTACCAGAGCGAGCGCAGGTCTGGTGTGTTGAGGATGGTGGCAGCGATTCTGGCGCCGTTTATCGGTGGGTTGGAGTAAATCGGCCTGATCAGGATCTTGAGTTGGGACTCGACTCTCTTGGCCTCTTCTGCGTCTTTGCACACAACAGTAAAGCCTCCCACACGTTCACCTGTCGTAACCGAGAGGGCAGAGTCAGGCAGAGCCAAGGCTCCATGAACTACGAAGGGGAAACACTCTGCATGGAGCCCCACAAAGTTTTGCCACTAGGTGGTGACAAAAACAAGCTTTTACTGCAGGTGCTGCATATCATAGTACATATCTGCCCATTAATCGATATTGTACAGATTGTTTACAAAGCACTATTGTACAGACTGTACAGATTATTAATTTTCACTGTTCATACTGTACAGAATATTACAGCTTACATTTTATATTTTATGCATTTATCTTATTTTTATTTTATTTTTCATATTCTAATTTGATCTGTGTATGTGTATGCTGCAACTGCACAGTAATTTCCCGGTTGGGATGAATAAAGTACTTCTATCTATCCATCTATCTATCTATGCAGTCTGCTGTGATCTTCACACACACCGTAGAGTCCCATGTTCTTGGCGAAGGACTGAGACAGCACGATGTTGTGGCCCGTCTCGATGAAGTGCCGAACAGCCCAGGCGTCACGATCAATGTCGCCGCTGGCAAAGCCCTGGTAGGCCATGTCGAAGAACACCAGCAGGTTCCTTTTCTGTGAGGTTCAACATGCCGATAAGAAGCTGTTAATATTTAAAACAATGACACGACAACTTCCTGATGTACAGCTTTTATCAGTCATGGAGGTCTTTGTTAGAGAGCAAGATGATAACAGCAGTGGGTTTTATCAAGACGTTCCTAGAACCGGACCGAGGCGAGTGCTTCTCACCTTCACGATGTCGCTGATCTCCTTCCACTGCTCGGGCCTGGGGTCCACGCCGGTGGGGTTGTGGGCGCAGGCGTGCAGCACAATGATGCTCTTCTCTGGGATTTTCTGCAACACGAAATGAATTCATCAAAACGAGATGCAACTAAAGCTGCAAACACACAGAGACGTCAACCAGCTCATCTGAAGGCCTCTGGTGCATTTAACTACATTTTTAAGTCACCAGCTAACAATTAGCAAAATTTATGATTACTGTTGAGTTTCCACCATGTTGATGTAAAATGTTGAGATAAATAGGGGCGTGCGATGTGGACTTAGAATTTTATCACAGTATGTTGTGGTACTATTACGATAAAGAAAAATATATATACTCTTAAATAATAATGTATTCTTATTTTTTAGGCAACTGTTTGGCTGTGACTGCCTGGCCCAGCAGTCATGGCGCCACAAGCAAATATTATTTTTGAAAAAAATATTCCCATTTGCAACAGGCTTCTTCAGGACGCTACTTGCGTAACAAACTGATTGATGTCACTAAACTGCAGAGAGTTAATGCATTTAATCAAATTTTCAGATTTACTGACATCTATTGATGCTTTTGTGGAACAAACAGTGGAGAAAATAGCAAAAATCTTACTGTCAGTTTTGTTTTTTAATTTACCATCTCCTATAACTGAAATTCCTCATAACAATAAATCAAATTTCTTAAAATATATGCATATATATTTTATTTTTTACAATAAATGATAAATATGATAAATGCCCTCCCCAAGAGATAAAAACGAATCTAACTGGAGTATTAAAGACCATTTTTATTTAATGACTTCAGAGTTTAGACTGTGTTTTTTCCCCTCCACACTTTGTGAAAACTTGATTCTACAAAGCTTGAGTGTCAACAATCTAAGGCTGAATTAGTGTGAAACTCAACTCATCCTCAGATAAATACTCTTATTGAGTAATGATCGTTTTTTTTTAGCCCTGACTCACAGAGATGTCGTCCAGGGCTCCTTTGAAGTCGAAGCCGCAGGTGGACGGGTCGTAGTATCTGTACGCTTTGAGCTGCATGCCAGCATCTCTGAAGATGGGTGTGTGGTTCCCCCAGGAGGGTTTGGGCAGGTACACATCATGTGGACCTGTATGGAACCGAGCCTGAGACACAGAAACAACAGATTATACAGCCAGCATGACCTTTAACCCGTCTCTCTTTATAGTGACAGTAAAACCAGCACTCACCAGGTAATTTCCCCCGATGCGCAGTGATCCAGTTCCTGAGATGGTCTGAACAGTGACGCTCTGATGGAAGGTAAATTTTACAACCTTGACTGTTTGACTGTGACACACCAAGGTCTAGACTGCTTCCTCAGACACCATAACTTACTCTGCCGCTCTTCAGCACCTCGTTGTCGGCACCGAGCGCCAGCTGGGCGCAGGCCTTGGTAAATTCACCAAAACCACCGATGGGCAGGTACTCCTTATCCAGCTGTTTGGATGCCATCAAAGCCTCTGCCTGGAGAACAAACAAGGAGAAGTAAAGAAAAACTAATTTTTAAACTAACAGCATTCTGAAAATGAAAAAAAAAAGCAGATGGACTGTTTTACCTTACGAACACAGCTGAGCACAAAAGGTTTCCCCTGGTCATCTCTGTAGGCTCCCACGCCGAGGTTCATCTTCTTTGGGTTGGTGTCCCTCTTGAAGGCCTCTGTCACCCCCAGGATGGGATCAGGGGGACCCATCTGCACTCCAGCCCACCATGAGCTGCACAAAACAAGCACAATAAAAATGGATGCTGATAGGACTACAAAACCCAAAGTAACAACAAAAAGGTTGTTTGGAAGCCCTTACATTCATGACTACAAACACCAAATCTGCTTTACACAACAGTGTTAGCCACAACCCTGCTCACTGAAGTGATTCTATCCGCCTACTTAAGTTTTTCCCTTCATGTGACCCCACTGAGCTGGTGACACATGAACGACACATGCTGGGTTTCAGGAAATTAACACAATCCAATTAGCCGTTTCAAAGTCCAAAAACAGGAAAAGGAAGTAATCTGGATGCAAAATACAATTTAGGACTAAATTTATTCCCACATTTACTCACTAGAACAAAAGAGTGGATACTGAAAATTGCAGTACTGTTGAAAACACAGAGATTTACTGAGGTAATTTCAAGGACATGGGGATCAACCCTGAAATGGGGTCTTGATCAGATGGCAAAGGTGGGCAGACCCGTCCAAAGAAATGCAAGCATGTTTCTTTTTCTTGCACTTATTGCCTCTACTCAGCTTTGTTTTCTTGGAAGTCAGCCATAATGTTTCTAAACAAGGTTTGCATGTTTTCCTGTGGAAACACAATGAAAAGTATCTGATATTTTGTCTAAGTTATTTTCTTTACTTCAATCTGCGACTTCGAGCATTGAGATCCAGTTAAGACAGCATTAAAAAGGATGCAAATACTTTAAAACACATTAGGCTACATTAATATTGTGAGTTGCATAAAGATTTGATAAAACTCAACTATTTATCTAAAAGAATATTTGAAAACCCAACAACATGTCTCCTGTGTGAGTAAATGGAAATAAAAGTTGCTACATGTGACCTCAGTTGCACTCCTTCCCTTATTCATTGTCTCGGGTTTCTTCTACTTTGTGAAACATCTGAACTTTGTAGCTAAATTTAGGAGAGAACTTCATGCAAAGGGCAAAAGTCTAAAATTAATGTTCAAATATGAGGTGAATTTATCATAATACACTTAATTTCTTGGCAAACATGTTGCACAAAACTTCAGCTTAGTGAAGGGTATCCAGATTAAGTGCAATACTTGCAGGGTTAATTTCATGTGTAAATACAACTAGAGCCATTCAAAAATATCCCATAGTTACACTTACTATATGAATAAAATCTATATGAGAAAATAAAAGCTGTGTCAATGCAGAAAAATTATGGTTTGTGCTTAAAGAGGGTGTCTGGTTTTAACCAGCAGGCCAGGGGGCACAGACTGCACAACTTACCTTCAGTAATCAATAGATCAAAGGACTTTTGCTTTCCCTTACCAAATGACTTCACAGCTCACTTAACACAAGCATAGGATGTTTGAGAAGAAATGTCTGTGCTTGGATACAATAGAGCATACAGTCAAACTGAGACTACAGCCTTGACTACAGTCAAAGTCAAACTGAGACTGTAGTCTCAGTTTGACTGAGACTTTTGCAGTAATCTATGCAAAAGAAGCTGCAAATATACATTCAGGACCAAAGTTTCATAATAAGTGACACTTTTGTACTTTAAACTTGGAAGGATAGCACTACGTGCTTAGTACGTTATTAATCTAATAAATCTTAATTTAAAGTGATGATTTTTTTATTATTATTTTTATTTTATTTTGATCGCAGTTGTCTGAGCCTTTATTTTTACTTAGCGACTGGAGCTTGGAGTTGCCCTCCAAGAACTAACTCAAAGGACGAACCGGCGTCTCTTTCGCTTCTCGTGTTCAACCAATCACCGATCAGAGGTGGAACCCAATCGCCAATCAGCGCGCAGAGGCGAAAAGAGTTAGCCAATCAACTCACACGGGTTCATAAATTTAAGGGTTCTGAGGTTTCCTATGACGTTATGTGGAATTTAACGCAAAACTCTGCTAGCGGCTTACGTTATTAGAAAAAAGGTCGCTATTGAAGACAACGTAACTTAAGCGGTAATTATTATGAAAAACACGCTAACTCGTTCAATTATTTTCCTCCACACGGATGTATGCGTGTCCACGGGGTGTGTGTGCCACGGACCAACCAACGTGACTTCCACCAAACTAACAGTCACTGTTAGCAACAATCACTAAATTATGAGTTAGGTGAGCTCTCAGGGGATTACTTGAAATATAAGGTGAAAATTTGGTAAATTAGAGAGAGAAGCGAACCACCACACCGATGCTAGCGAAAGCCGACACTTCGGGGCCTGCTGAAACCATTTGACCCCTGTCTGCGGCTGGTCACACTTACAACATGGCCTCTTTATACACCGTCCTCTAAAGATGGTTCGTAACATTTAAAAGTGACTGTGCATTTAAAGAGCAAAAAATAATAATAATCTGCATCCTGTGTTAGGTTAAACACTCACACCAGATGTAGATTGGTATAGGAGCAAAAAGCTCACTGTCCTCGGGAGACATGTGGGTTAGCTCGGGAGTGTGGTTTACCTGTTGCGGCTGGACAGAGCTCCTAGGGCCGGGGAGATGTTGCCCAGGCAGTGGATCACCTTGTTGGACTTGAGCAGAGCCATAGTTGTGCAGCGGAAAGGAGCCTAGCAGGATGTGGACAGACGTGAAGGACAGGGAAGACCACGCTGATACGCCTACGGTACGTGCTGACGACAGAGCTGAACGTCACAAGCGAAGCGGACCACGTTGATGGGAATTCCGCTTCGTTTTAGGGATACGTGTCGTTTGGCTTGCTTGATCTACAGAATTCGGCTTGTAGCTACTGAAAACCCAATGGCTAGTTTCCAAAAAAAATCGGTAATTAATAAAGATCAACAGAAAAGTATTTTCAATTCAGACATGTCACCCTACCCATGAAAAACATGTCTTTGCATTAGATAGTACTTGTACTTTGTGCTCCTTTTGCAGAAATACATGCACTACAGCATGGAGGTGAGTAGGACGTTGTACTCCTGATGTGTTAAACTTATGTCTGCTAAAGATTTAACGCAAAACCAGGCACACAAAAACACATAAAACAAAAGTATTCTCTACAAACTACCGTTACAACTACTGATAATAAGGAGTGCATTGTGAATCAGAAACTGAGCGTTCAGAAAATTATTTAATTGAGCTCATCAAAAGTCAAACTTTAATCCAAAGTTTACCCGTCTTTTACTCAAAATATCTATCAAAATCAATAAATTAAGAAGAAAACACAATACATTTGTATAGCATCACATATACTGGTTAAAACTGACTTATATAAATAAATAAATAAAAATTTTAAAAGTATAATTTAAATGACATTTAGGTTTATAAGTTGCAATTGTTCCCCTCATTTATTGTACTGATGCTCCACTAGAGGGCAATCTTAGACAATGAAGTATCGACATTAAAGTCGCTGCTCTGACAATGCCTATGTTCAGGTTGTCCTTATTTCAGAAGTATTTTGGTGCTTGATGATTAAAATTGACCTGTGTGGATTCAAATAACAAGCACTAAGAGAAGGAACGTATCTGGACCTGATCCACTGCCATGATTTCAGTTATGACTGAAGCTTAAAATAAAAAAACCTTCATAAATGTACTTATTATCCTTATCTCAGTCAAAAGATAGTTTATGGATAGTATGAGAGTTTTCATACTTTAACACTCATTTGTGTTACTAAATTAAAATCACCATACATTGCAGTGGATAATTATTTCCCCCTTGATTTTTTCTATTTTTGCTTTTTTACTTTAATGTTACAGATTATCGAACTAATTTTAATATCAGACATAAGTATAGTCTAATATTAGATGTAAAATTCAGTTTTCAATCATAATTTTATCCATTAACAGAGAAAATCTATTAGTCTGGTAATCAATTTGGTTTTTACGATCTCAAACATGTAAATTTAACAACCAAAAATAAAATTAAATAAAAGCAAAAACAGATAATATCCAAAACTTTTTCTTTGTGTTTCTTACCTTTGCTTAGCAATAAACACACTGACAAAATATAAGCTCTAAATACTGTATGAAACAAAGATGCAGAATTGTTTTCTTTTCATTTTTAATGTCTGATGTAGCTGCAGGAGAAGAAAGCTCACACTGAGCATCTTAGAGTCGAGGTGGTTTATCACACTGTGGAGGCTGGAAGTTCATGAAACACTTTTCTCAAACTCAGTGGACGACAACAGCGTCTGCTGGCAAACCAACAGAGTGGCAGAAAGAGGCTCATCCCTGGCTTACATGTGGCTCTGCGTCTGTGCACAGAAGATATGGATTAATCCAGCAGAAAGAATAGAAAGGAACCAGGAGGCATTCCTGTGTCCAAACTGGTTCATCCTCACCTTAGAACTGCATTTATTATGATTGAATTTTATTTTATTTTTGCTAAAACTTCCAGAAAAAGATGACAGTTTCTTACTGGACCAGTTCTATCTCTCAACAACTGTCATCTGAAGCTATACAATAATAATAATAATAATAATAATAAAAACAGGTTCAACTCACTCAAATGAAATAAAAGCAATCAATTTAACCCAATCGTAATGCAATGCAGCCAGGTTTAGTTGATTATTAAATGCCAGTAAGTGATCTGTTGTCCAACTCAGCTAACCAGAAGATTTCACAAAATATTAACTTTGCATCAAACCGTTTTTCAGTGACATTTTTATGATTCTTGTCATCTTTGTTCCACCATTTCAATCAGTGCAGAGGTCCAAATCGTTTTACAAAACCAAAAGCAAGTGAGAATATTTTTGCTTTAAATTAACTTGTATGTAACCTTTATTTTCTGCTGCAGAACAAGGTCATAACCTTTCATTTAAGAAGGGGGGAAAAAGCAATTTCCACTGCATTGTGCAGAAAGTAAAGTCATCTGCTCCCCTCTCTGCGCTGCTCTGAGTGGGACTGGCGTGTGTGAAGGAATCAGAGCAGATATAACTCTCTTTTCCCTTGTTGTTAGCAGCTAACAGCTTGGTCTACTGCTGCTCTTTCACTGCGTGTCCTTCTGTACTTCAGCGAGGCCACTTACTGTCTATATATTTTTGGATGTGTAGCCTGTGTGCGCGTGGATGCAGTAACGGCGTGAGAAAAGTGGTGTGATTCAAAGATAGTGAGTTTAATTAAATATGTGCTGATGATTAATTGATAGACGTTACATGGTTTCCGTCACACGTGAGGGATGAAATCAGGAGGAAACCAGCAGATTTAAAATAAAATCTGGCCTACATTGCATTCAGCTCACTTATATTAAGGACGTCTTGGCTTTCGAAGACGCGCGACTCTTTTTTCTGATTTGTTTTCTGAGATATAAAGTGGAAAACGCTGGTTGTATTTCTTCATGCTGTGTGCAGGCCATTTTGTGGGAAAGGCAGTGGGAACTGATCACCCATATCCTACTTTGCCCACTTTCCCTCAAAATGGCCCGGGAAGAGTCGTCAAGTTCCTCCGAGACTATAAAAAATGGATCAGCACAAGCTCCCTCTTCAACACACTTTCTGTCTGCAGGAGATTAGAAAGAGAGGGAGCACTTAGAGGGAAACACTCTCTTCCTGGTGATCTGTAGAGGAGATGTAATCTTTACACTCGACACAGAGGTGAGTGTTTTACAGCACCAGACAAACCTTTCACTGCAGCAGCTTCTGGATTTATGTTGCATTTATTTATCCTCTCATTTGTATATTTCTGTAGAACAGTACCAGCCTCGTGAAACAAAACAAGAACATTATAACAAAATAACCTGAAATAAACAAAACAATGAGATGCCACAGAACAGAGTTCCTTCTCTAAAACTACAGGGAGCATATGTGATTGAGTTAAAGATACAAATGCATAATACACAAGATTCTCCACTTGCCATTTAAATCTCGATAAACAGCTTTACTTTGATGAAGAAAAGAAAAGTCAGCAGGTATTTTCTGTGCTTTCAGGCGCACTGTTTCTGGTCACACATGCACCAGGCTACATTGAGAGGTAGGAAGGAGGAAGCAGTGCAGGAAGACAGGAGGGTCCCGGGCAGGCAGGCAGGAGGCAGGCAGGCAGGCAGGCAGGCGGGCGGGTCACAGCGTGGAGTCCCGGCACAGGACGATCTCCATCTCAGTGCGGTACAGCTTCCCCCCGTCAGCCAGAGCCATGATGCTCTTTTTGTAGTCCACCAGCCCGGTTGAGTCCAAGTCCTGCCAGAAACGACACAGCCAGAGAGAATCACACCGTCTGAGGCTGCAGCTCCATCTCCCTGCTATATTTGGCCTTCAGGAAGAGGGATGGATGTGTCAATCAATAGGTGAAGTATTCATTACCATTTTGTTCTTGTCACAGAGGTCCTTCAGCAGAGCATCCAGCTCCTGCTCATCAATGTAGCCGTTACCGTCCTGATCAGAGAGAGAAGAGGACAACGTCGGAACAAGACTTTCCTTTCAGCTTCACGTATATAAAATGATCCCAAACCCGCTGCTGGAACACGGAGCATGTACAAACATGGACCTTATGTATGGAGAGTGAAAAGTGCCAAATTGCAAGAGTTTACAGAGTTTGTAGTAAACAAATTACAGCAATTTATTGGGGTTATTTTCACACTCCCAAAGAAAGTATTGACCCAGAGTCATAGCAAACTTGGAAGAAGTTGTCTCGACTTCCTGTTTGAAGCAGCCAATCAGATGTCAGGGTCTACAGAGGGATAATCAGTCAACGTCACACTACATCAGCACGTCGCTGCGCGTGTCGCCTGCAGAAAGCAACCATGAACACATTATTCCAATTATTTAAGGCTAATAAAATTATCTACAACGAGCAACCAGCGCAGATCACCTCTCTTTGCACGCAGCTCTGCGGTATCTGCAGACAGGTTTTATTTTTTAGTACAGCGTCTCTGCCTCATGTTCAGTCTGCTGCTACACTTCTGATTTCTTATTGCTTAGGTTACCACCTGCCATGTTCATTTTTCTGATAATCATTACCAAAATTGGAAGAAATAATCCTTTTATTCCCCATTTGTGCATTAAATATGAATTCCATTTTTTTAATGAAAAATTTCAGTTGTAGGAAAATCCTATTCCTTACTCACCACGGTTATGTTTTGTCTTATTTAGAGGAACTAAACGCATCTCACTGAGACCTGACCTTTACATGCAGAATTACTTTAATTTAATATAGTAAATTATGTCCAGCCACTGAAGTTTGGGACTTTTTTTTTTCTCCCCCCCCCCCCATTCGCTGATGTCAACTTGGTATCATAACTTATTTTATCAAGCTGTGATAAACAGTTGTAGTAGTTGCAGTCATCCTCTGTGTTTACAAACAAATAATCCCTTAACATATACTGTAGCTCTCATAGAACTCATAGAACGTCGTCTCACTTCGTCTCACTTCGTCGCACTTCCGTGAACTTTGCAACTGCCAGCTGTCTTAATAGGCAGTTGCTATGGAGTTGCTATGACAACAAAAACCAAACCACAAGCTTAGAACTCGCTCTCGCCTCGTCCCTGACTTATAAATAATTTAATTGAGGCATATATAAGTAATCATATATTAAATACATTACTTCTGTATTTATTTCTAGTTTTAAAAAATTAATGTCGCATTTAAATATTTATTTCATAAGTTATTTATTTATTGTGACTTGGCACTCTTCACCCTCAATACTTTTGGTGACATAACAAGTCTGATGTTTTTAGCAGGGAATGACAGAGATAAAAATCTATTTATTGAGTAGTTAATGCTCAAATTTGACCACCACCTAATAAAGGAATAATTACATACTCAGTTATTACCAATTCAAATATTCTTTCTACATTTTAGGTTTTATTTTTGTAGGCAATTACTAATGCATTTCAGTAGTAGTAGATATGAATTTACCCAATTGTCTATTTCATTATATTTAAGGATTTTAAGTCATTAAGCCTGTCACAATTAGCAATTAATCAATTAAAATTAGCTCAATAATTTTCATTTTGATTAAAATTTTTGTTTAGAGAGTTCATAATCTATTTTATTATAATTTTGATTGTGTGTGGTTTTAATTTCCTTTCAACTTGTTTTTGGCTGTTATGTTTTATTTTGGATATTTAAAATCTCTTCCAGTGCAGCATGAAGTGTTCTGTACAAAATTAAAGGTAATTGAAGTACTATTGCTATGCATTATTATATTAACTGAAAATGGATTCAAAACAACAATATTATCATTAATCGCAATAATTTCTGCCAGAGACAATTTATTGACCAACAAATTTTGTTATTGTGACATGCCTAATTATCATATATATAAACATTTTGTGATTTACTTGTTTTTAATTGGAATTTGACCTCCATAGAAGATTGCTAAAACTGAACATCTATTCAATCTAAATGAAAGAATGTCTTAGTCTTAGGAATAGGTAAAATATGCCACTTTATAGCACAAAATGTGCATAAATCAACTCTAGAAATGTGAAAATAGGACTGACAGCGACTTACTTTCATCAACATATACATTAGACAGACTGAAATGAAATTCCCTGGAGAATAAATCCATATGACCTAATCGTTTGTATTTCCACAACCTGCATCATGCAGCAACAAGCAGAGAGTGAACAGATGTCCGTCGTAAACATGTCTGATCGGCGCTCAGCCTCCACAGTCAACAAAAACTACAGATTTTTTTCAGTTATCACCGTCCGTATTCATGTTCAGAAACACGTTTTTCACCTTATCATAGAAAGTGAAGAGAGAGTCAAACTCCTTGACGGTGAGTCTGATGCCCTGTAATGTCACACAAAGAGAGAGAAGACAGAATGATTAGAAACCAATGCATATTTCTCGAGAGCGGTAAAAGCCCCAGATCTACCACAGATATTAATCCGTGGAGATTATGATAACTGGGACTAGAGTTGAGTTAATCCTCATCAGACTGACTAATCCTCTGTCAAGAGAAATTGTTGATCTGCTCTCACAGGCCAGCACATTTAAATTGGAACAAACAAGATGGTTGAAGGATCCAAATTCAGACACAACTGTGTTGGAGGTGCTCAGTTTAAATGATCTCTTCCAGTAAAGCTTGATTAAAGGCTATATGGCCAGAGGAAATTGCACAAGAAAAAAGTGAAAGTAAGTAGAAGCTGCGCTGCTCACATCAAAACCTAAATTGAGCATTTATTAGTTTTATAAAATGATCAGAGTTTAGAAAAATAAGGAAGAAGGATTGACAAATCCCAGTTAACTCTGAAGGTAAACTTTATATTTATTATTATAATATGAGGCATTTCTTTATTTTCAATGATACTTTTACACTAATGTTATTGCAAGCAAATGATGTTCACAATAAAATATTGATTTGTGTCTCTGTAATGTTACAGCTACAAGCTGACTCCTGCTTCCCAAAACAAAAATAGATTCAAAGTATCCGGGTCTTCCACCATTTTTACTATTTTCTATTCCTTTCCAGGATTAGCAGATTAATGTCTCAGTAATATCTGGAGAAACTCATCCATGTGTTTATCTTTAGTCACATTGATTACTGCAACAGCATCTTCACATGTCTGCCTAAAAAAAAATATATATATATCCAGTTGCCGCTGATCCAAAACGCTGCTGCTCGCATTCTCACTAAAACCAGGAAGTTGGAGCACATAACACCAGTTTTACAGCCCCTACACCGACTCCCTGTAGCTCAGAAAATAGACTTTAAAATACTGTTAGTTTATAAATCACTGAACGGCTCAGTACCACAACACATTAAAGATCTGCTGCTGTTGTACCAACCTTTCAGACCCCTCAGGTCTACTGATTCTGGTTCTGCTCTGCATCACCAGAACCAGAACCAAACAAGGAGAAACAGCATTCAGCTTGGAACAATCTTGCAGAAAACTGCAAAACTGCTGAAACATTGGGCTCCTTTAAATCTCGACTAAAAACCAAAGGTTAGAGTCGCCTTTGAAGCATAATTGATTAAGAATTTAACGATGGCACATGACTAAGTGTAATGTTTCGATTGTTGATTTTATGTTGCGTGACTTTGTGTTTTTTTAGGGTTCTCGTGATGTAAAGTACTTTGAAATGCCTTGTTGCTGAAATGTGTTGTACAAATAAAATTTGATTGGTTGATTGACTTTCTGTGGTCTCAGAGAGAAAACCTCCACATATAATCAACCAGGACGATCCTGATCTGACGTCAACTTTTTACTTTCAACACAGAGCAGCTTCCTGACAGGCAGAGCTCCACCTGCACTCAATGACACCAGGGTCAAACAAGTTGCCTGCTTGATGGATAATCTCCATTACCATAATCTAAAAGATTCGTCTACATCAGTGAAGTGCATTCAGGGGAGCCAGTTCTTCACCAGTCACTCGTTTACACCCATAAAACTCACTGCCTCCATTTCGATAATTATTTGGCTCTGGATGCACCGTTTGGGGCCCGCTACTCAAAGCAGTTTAAATCAGACTAGCATGCAGCAAGGAGGGCTGAAGTCTTAACTCTTATTTCAGAAACACAGCAGTTAAAATCACAAAGTTAAAGCCAGCGGATTACTGAGTTCCACACTCGCAACATGAAAGCTTGAAGGTGGTTTTCCACTTTGTGTTTCCACCTGGTTTAATCTCCAGTGGCCACTGTGAAGCAGGATTTGTGCCATGCATGAAATGCTGAGGTTGGACAAAATGTGCATGCAGCGTGGCCAAACAAACTGGCTGCTGCTTCCTTAACCGGAACAACTGAAGACTGACATGGTGGCAGTAAAAGACAGAGATTTAAAAAGCACGCAGCTTTTTTCATGTGTTGTGTTTCCTTGACTTCTGCAATTTATTCTCTACTTACCTTTAGGATGTCTTTACAGATATTTTAAACAATTTTCCTTAACTTATTTTCCGACTCATTAATTAGGTTTTACTGCTGCCAGTGTGGAGGCAGTTGCCAAAAAGCACTACACTTTAATCTATTTGTGTCCATAGTGTGATGCGCCTCTTGGCAAGGCTGAAAACGTAAAGCAATGCCAATCTAAAAATGTGGGATCTTAAGAAGATGAGTAATTTAAAAAAAAAAGAAAACAAGCTGAAGCCAGAATGGACAGAAAATAAACCAAAATGTGAATAAAGGCCTTCTGTATCCGGCTAGTGATTAAACATCTATGATTAAGGATTGTGGAGTTGTTTTGTTTTTATGACTTTTAGTTTAAAGGTAAACAAAAGAGACAAAAGAAAACCAGCTAAAAAACATTGATTTGATAGTGATTTTAAAATAAAACTAGCTTTAAAAAAATTAAATCTTCTTTTCAATGATACAGGAAAAAAATCATTTATAATCGCTAATCCTTGAAGGAATGAACATTGTACTTTTTAATTTCTTGGCATATTATAATCACAAACTTTAATATATTTAATTGGGATTTTATGAGACCAACGAACCCAAATGATGAAAAAACTGAAAAGTGAAAGAAAAAAAATTGTTTTCAAAATGTTTATAAGTAAAAATCTGAAAAGTGTGGCCTCCATTTGTTTTGTCCTTGGGTCAATACCGTCCCTGTCTTTAGGATTCTGGGCTGGACTTTGACTAGGCCAGTGTTCTGCAACCTTCACAAACCGCAGAACCGTTTTTTGCTCTCAGTCCAGCTAAAATAAAACTTCAGCGCTGCAAATGTTACATAAGCTTTTACAAGTTCCGTTATTATTTGTGGAAAATGATATAAAGCATAAAAGCACATAGTTTCCATCCTGCGGACAAGAAAGATGGATGTAAAAAAAAGACTTGATTGGATGAAATTGGATGCAATTTTAATAAAATACTGTTAAATCTGTTATTATATTTATTTATTAACATTAGTTGGTTCTGGACATTTTTTAGCCAAAGTTATTAAGAGCCATCAGATTATGAACTCCGTGTCTTTGCCATTTTAATGCATGAATGTGTTTTGATTTAAACTATTTCATTGTAGCTTTGACTGTAAGTTTTGAGTCTCTGTCCTGCTGTAAGATGAACAATATAATGAGATTAAATTTGAACTCTGTTTTCCATTTAGCTGACCTCTGAAGGATTGGATTTAATTTGGAGGTATCAGAGTAAAAGATGACTAAATCCATATACAGAACACACTTTTCAGAATTTTATTCGTAAAAACATTTGAAACCATTCGCTAACACATAAAATCCTAATAAATTATATCGATGTTTGTGGCTGTAATGTAACTAGACGTGAAAAGTTCAAGGGTTTTAAATAAATACCCTTGCGGTGTGCTGTGTTTTAAAGAGAAAGCACTTGATAGTTGATGTTTTTTGAGGGTTTTTTGACGGCGTAATCTCACCTGAAATTTGAGCAGGAAGTTCTCCTGGACCGGCAGAAGCCTGTGGTGAAAAACATAAGCCGGTCAGTGTTGATCTGAAGAGCAACTTTCAGAAAGAAGAGCAAACAAAACTGAGAAGCGACGCTCACCTCGCCATCTCAGAGAGGCCCAGCTTACCGTCACCATTCAGGTCAAACATCCTCAGCTACAGAAAAATAAAATCAAAAGAGAATCAATCAGAGGAAGTTTAGGGGAAATGTTGCAAACAAATATTTGTCCACTGAAGCAGTCGGGTGTGTTCAGTTCACAGATGGCCGACTGACCCTGGTGGCAAAGGAAGCAACGTCTCAGCAGTACAGGTGCACTATGTGCAGCAAATGTGATTAATATTTAAGCCTCCACATAATGCTTCATTATGCATATGACCAGCAGTTAGCTGTAAGTTGTGAATATGGCATCATTAAGGGGCAAAATGTCAATGCAGATCTTAAAAAATCTCTTTACAGACTTCAACTTGTGTGGCTGACTGAAGCTTTGAGGTTTATCAGAATACAGCAGCATGATTGATATATGATTTTTTAGATATTTTGTATTTTGAGAGGCCAGTAATGCCGGTTATTTAAACATTTTAGCTCTCACAATTGTCTGTGTGTACTCGTTGAGTTTCTTGTCGTCATAGTCTCTGTTGGCCTTCTTCAGCAGGTCCGACAGGAAACCCTGAGATGAGGAAGAAACCAACGATGAGAGGACTTTAAACGCTTTCATCTGACAGCAATCATGGTGGAAATCAGAGGAAATTAAATGTAGGACGTACTCTTTATTTTGTTTTTCACATAAAGGAACAGGAGTGTGAAATATCTACTAGCATTTACACCAACAGCATGACAACAAGGCTAGTCAGCGCTGTTGTCATCTAGATTAGAGAACGCATCGTTGCCATGAATTTCTAGATAAATCTGTCCATATCTACAGAACTTTGAGTTTAGTTAATCAGTTTCTCTCGTATATTTGTTTGTTATTAGCTTTTCACATTTTGATTATCTTCTGTGGTTGATCAGATTTATTCCCTGATCCTGATTCTTTTACCGTGTATTTATTCTGTGTGTAAATGTCATTTTCCCTCAGCTTTGCTCCTCACGCCGCTGCAGTGCATTCATTTAATTACTGCCACCTGTTTCAGGCTCTACTAATCATTCTCACTCCAGTTACTGCCCAAATCTGAGTCACTTAAATCCAATTTTCTCTGCATTCATTTATAGATCATTTTTAGATCAGCATATTTGCATGTCGATGCTTGTTATTTATTTATTTACTTATTTATTTATATTCAGTCATATTGAATTACTTCAGTCACTCTTAGTTATATAGACAGCTCTGGAAAAAATTTAAGAAACCACTTAAAATGATCAGTTTCTCTGATTTTACTTTTTGTAGTTATACATTTTAGTAAAATGAACATTGTTCTTTTATTCTATGAACTACTGACAATGCGTCTCTGAAATTTCAAGCAACAATTGAGTATTTATTTGAAGAAAATGAGAAATTGTCAAAATAACAAAAAAGATGCCGTGGTTTCAGACCTCAAATAATCCAAAGAAAAGAAGTTCATATTAATTTAGAAACAACAATACTAATGTTTTAACTCAGGAAGAGTTAAAAATTAATATTTGATGGAAAAACCAGGAGGTTTTCAGTGGGTTCAATGCAGTGGACCCACTTTTTTTTACAGAGCTGTATATATTGTATAAGCTTTTATCTCTTATGGTTATACTTATATTATTAATATTCAACACCTTTACAGGAGCAGCTTGTCAATGAATAAGCAATTTTTCCTTGGGGATCAATAAAGTATATTCTATTCTAAACTCAACATTTTTAATCACTCTATGTTGGAGTCTCCTGTTCCCTCCATGGTTTGCTTTGTAATTCAATATTCTTTTACTTTTGTAAACCACATGAAAACATTTCTACCTGTTTGCCTTTAAATCAATAAGACTTAACCACGATGGCTAAGTCTTGTACACTCACTGCACGAGACTCCACTGCTGAAGAAAGAGTGTTTTTAAGGTTCACTACAGAAGATTCGGACAAGCCTGCCAAAGCCCAGACTAATATTCTCAACTCTTGGCTGTCATTGCGCAGAACGTGTTTCGTTTTTGTTCTCGTGGGAACGTCTCGTTACTGGGTGACTTAAAACATATGGAATTGGCAGACTTTATATAATTACAGTATGCTGTAAATATACTGGAAAATATCGTGGGGACTTTGAGTGGTTTTTCATCTAATGAATGCACAAAGCGCTACAAATGCTGTATTAGACGCCTGTTGTGTTACCTTCAGCTCATTGGACTCGATGTATCCGCTACGATCAGTGTCATATCTCCGCCAAGCCTGCAGGAGAAGATTTCATGTTTTTAGAGAACATCTCAGTAACAACTAAAAAAAACACAAACATCTTTGTTTGTATAGCCAAATGCACGTACTGCCTGACTTTGTGTTAATATAGAATTTGTCAAAAGATGGACACCTAAAACGCTTGCAGTGCTCTCTGACTCCTTCCCCTCCACAGAAAGCTGCAGAACATCCATAATGTATGGCTTTTCTGAGAATAGCTTTAATACACGGAACATTCCGAACATCCCACCATAAAATCCTCCTAAAAGGAAATAAGTGAAGTGTGTACGTGTGTGTGTGTGTGTGTGTTTTGTGGAGTGTATGTTCAGTCACAGTGCAGCTTATGTTTGATGGCTCTCCGTTTTCCCTCAGATTACTTCAACATCAAACATACAGTTGAGAAAAAAAGCAAAGTCGACAAAAAAAATGCTGCATTTTCATCAGTGCAAACGCTGAAATACTTATTTTCAATTAAGCAAAAATGATACCTTTGGCTGAGGGTTTTAAATATTAAACATTTGTGAATGTTTGGCTCAGAAAACAACCGCCCAGATGAATGTTGTGGCAGTCCTTCCTGAAATGCCACAACATTAAAACAGACGCCCCAACTTGGCACGGAAACTAGAGGAAACATGAGGCAGCTGAACATGCGTCCCACAGGACAGACTGTCAAGGCGAAGCTCGCTGGAGGCGCTTGTGAGGAAATTTCACAGTTCAGTAAGGTTTATCAGATATTCAGTGAGCAAACTCAGAAAACAGAAGACCTCAACTGAGAACAAACGTGGCTAATTTTTACAGTCACTGAACTGGAGGGCATACCATGGAAAGGTTGACTGAGCACATCTACTGTAAGGAGTTAGGTGGGAACGGTTTTCAACATTCAAGGCGGGGGACACAGAAATGTACCGACTTACATCCATGAATTCAGCACTGGATCTCACAAACTCTCTGAAACAGATCAGGAAGTTTTCCTCCGTCGGCAGAATCTGGACCAGCTGCACAAGAAGAAATTGACGTGTTTACTTAAAAAGCTACTGTTTAAAAGACTTGTTGGGAAAAGAAAAAACAGTCGTAAATAAGCTGGTCTCACCTCAGACATCTCAATTCTACCATCAGAGTTCTTGTCAAAGTTTGCCATGAACTCCTTCAACTTCTCCTTGAACAAAGCGTGCGAGGGATCCTGCAGAGACACGAAAACGTTTTCAGTTTGCTCATATTTTTGGCTTTGCATGTATGAAACCAAACTTCAGTGCTAATAATAAATGTATGCATCTTAAATTAAAATTTCCATACATTGTACAAACTTTTTTTTATTTATTTATTTTTGGCTGTTTCACATTAATCAGATGAAACTTCTTCTGATTTAGGTCAGTAATGCTTATCAAAATTATTTATATTTGCTAAATACCAATATAATGAGGGGAGATTTTTTTTTTTTTACATTTTTATTAATTTCACTAGGTAAAACAATGAAAACACTAAGATTACTATTTCTTTAAACAATTTAATGATGTTATTGCCATATTTTATTTCCATCCATCCATTTTCTGTACATCCTTATTGCTAGTGGGGTTGGGCCTATATTTTATTTGTGATATTATAGATCAAAAATACAAGTGTTAGAAATGGGTGCATAACAAAGGCAAAACAAATACAAAAGAAAGGAAGGAAAAATAGAAAAAGAGCCCAAAGTAGTACTTGGGTATTTGTAGTGTTTGTAGATAAGATAGAGGAAAAAAGAAGATAACGTTAAATAACATTACTACTACTAAAAAAACAAACAAATGAATAATAATAAAACAATAACAATATTAGTGATAATAAACTGAAGCTGTCTGTTTTCAGGTAAAACATTGAAAACACTAAGATAACTATCTCTTCAAACAATCTGATGTTGATGCTGCTACTGTTGATTAACATGTTTTGTTGTGAAATCTGGGCATCAACCCAGGAACCAAAGCACTGAAGCTGGTAAAACAGCCTCTGCATAAACACAGCCAATCAGACAGGAAGAGGCCTTTTTTCCAAAAGCAACATATAAAATCACATTATATCTTTGCAGTTCACGTAGGGACAAAACCCCTAATTTTCAGAGATATATTCTGTGTGATGAAACTAAAATTGAAGTATTTGGCAATAACAAGCATTGTTACATTTAGAGAAGAAGAGAGACGTTCAAAAACCTGAGAATGAAATCCCAGCTGTGAAGTAGGTAGCTGTGTTATGTTGCAAGAGAGACTGGTGCGCTTTATAAAAATTAAATAATTGAAGCAACTTACTTAAAGCTGGGGGACAAATATGTCTAGACAATGACTGTAAGCATACCACAAAGTCAGTCAGGGACAACAACATCCATGTTATCTCAGCCCCATAAAGAATTTGTCTGCAGAGATGAAAAGTTTATGCAAGCAAAACACTGTTTCTATCAGGAAAAATGGGTCAAAATTACAACAAAATACTGAGAGAAGCTTCAAGAAGAATTCTCAAACTATCTGACCCAACCTACACAATTCAAAATGCAATAAACTTCTGACATAAAGCAGAGTTCAAAAGGTACATTTTCATTCTGGTTAGCAAATAAAAATAACTGATGCAATAAGTGTGACATTGACACTACATTAGTTTCACCTGCAGAGCGTTAGCATTTACTAAGTAGGACTGTGACAGATGAGGAAAACACCCACCACGCCGGCTCCTCGCCTCGCAGTCTCCAGCTCTGTGAAGAAGCTCTCCAGCTCCTTCCCCTCTATGTAGCCGTTTCCTTCAGAGCACCAGAGGAGCGAAATTAGTTTGGCACAAATGACGTCATGAAGCTTTTAAGTCACTTTAAGCTTTGTTGACTGTTTAGAAGTTTGATTAAAGTTTAATAACCACTGAGGGTCTTTAAGTTTTGAAGCCATTGCCAAACGTTGAGTACTGGTCCAGACTCAAGTCCTCTGCGATTAAACAGAAATAATCAGTTTAGAAACTAATTTGGAGTACACTCCTAGTTAAAGCTGTGCTTAATTTATTATTTCTGACATTTGATTAGTTTGGACGCCCAAGTAATGCCTACAGTGAATCTCAGAGCTCCACAACTGCAGAAAAAAATAAAGGTTACCAAACATCTAAACAATCTTCAGTTATTGAAAATTTAGTTTTATTAACTGATAATAACAAGGTCGAATGGATAAAATATCCTAGTTTACATATCCATATCCAGCTGTAAAGTGGATTTATCTGTATATGAGCTCCAGCTGGGACAAACAAACTCCACCAGAGTGAAGTGGCATTGGAGTGTAAGCAGAATAATGAGCATCTTCTTGCCTAAAAGGGCAATCAGACTGATGCTTACTGGAGCATCCTGTCCCTCACTCTGCATTGTACCACTTACAACGCTGACATTTTAGAAAATAATTTAGTTTGTCTTGAGGTCACAGGTTATACAGGACGTCCTGTGGTCATTTTTAATCATTAGAGCGAGTCCCACCTGTCACCAGTCTAAACATGGGAGAGGGGATTTATGCAATTCAATATTTAACAGGAGACGCAGATAAACTGTTGTCCCAATTCAAAGGAAAACATAAACGTACTGAACTAAATGCAGTGATGTGTCCCATGACTTATTCATCTTTTAATCTCTTATCCACTCGTTTCATTTTTTTATCGTTTTTACCCCCTTCCTCCCAGCTCCGTTTGCGCAGTACATCTTGATTGGTGCCACTGGCTGTGCTCATGTGAACTGGTGTTTCAGACAAACCAGAGCAGAAACCAAGGAAACAGCACAGAAAACACACCAGAGATGAACCAGCATTTATGTATACTGCTGGTTTTTAATGCAGTATCATGTTTTTCATTACATTATTCATTCATCCAACTAGAAATTGACAACAACAAAGAGGACACTGGGAAATATTTCCTAAATCAAGAATTTATTTAAAAAAAAACACAATTACTGCATAACAATATTTTTACTCTTTTAGTTATCTCTGTGTTAACTTGCTAATATCAACATAATGGAACTACAGGTTAGTACAGATCATCTATGTCCACAGATGTAAATCACCAAAAAAAAAAAAAAAAAAGAAAGGGAAAAGAAGGGGGAACCTGTTCAAAGTATCAGCATCATAAGTGCCGGTAGGTGTGGCTCCAGCAGAAAGCAGTTATTTTCCAACACAGCGTTTTCAGTAATTGGAGATACTTCAATAAAACATTAAACTTTTTTTAAAGCTACTTATCTTATCTGCTTATATTATCTCTCATAAGTACAAATACTGGTGTAGTTATAAATAATGGCAACATTTTATATTTTTCAGTAAGAATTTATTTTCCTCTTTAAAGGTGAGCCATTATGTTTCCTTGAACAGGTTAGGCTAGGTCTACATGTTCATTACATTATTTTTTTTTACAAAATCATTTCCAGATAACTAGAGTTCAGTCTTGTCAGTTCTGCCTATTTAGAGGTCCTTTTAAGGCCTCTTGTCACATTAAATCCAAATAAGTTGCTGCTGGTCACATTGGTGTTTACATTCGCATGTCTAAATGGATGCAAACAGATGCGCAATCATACAGCTATACATCTTTGAAAAGCAGAAGTGGTGCCTCCTGTGCGACCAACAAGAATGCAGCTAGTAGTTTCTGGATGACAGGTCAACAACAAAACCTTTGTCTTTTCCAGCAGCTATTGTACAATGTATAGAGTGGAAAAAAACAGCTGATTAAACGTGATGGAACTCTGCTTGGGTTGCTAGGTGACAGGCAGGGCTATGCTGGGGTTGCTAAGTAACGGTGCAGTCCCCATTGATGGGAATTAATCAAGAGGTTTTTGAAACGGTTCATATTCCAAAAAACATTAAATAATTGATGCAAATGGAAGCATAAAAATGTACAAAAAGTGAATTTCGCAGACTTTTAGATTATGTTTATCTCAAAATATATGAACACATTTGATTTGTCTTTGGTTGTATTTCTATACGTTTCAAAACGAACCAATTATCTGTGATAAATCGGATAAAGCGTGTTTATCCAGAATCCCAGAGATATAGCTGTGTTCTCAGCTCATTGGTGGTTTGTGCAAGAGTTTAGTTGGGATCTAAGTCTCAGCTGTCACATGGAGCGCACCACTGCACACTGAGCAGATGAAGCCCCTTTCCCCTCCATAACATTTTCAAACCCAGCTCAACTTCTGATTGTTCAGCGGCACCGCGGGACCATGTCAGCTGTTCAGCACATAATGTCAGAAAATGACATAAAGGCTCATGTGACAGACTGAGTGTTTCATTGCTGCATGAAATAATGCCGCAGGATTTGTTTCAGCTGTTAAGACGCAACTCATTTGTGAGATTAAAATATGTTTCAGATTTTGAGAGATTCACTTTAAAGGTCAAGTATCACTTTGAACTTCTTTTCTTTTATTCATTCACTGACATACCCTTTAAATTCCCGCAGCATAAACATCGGTGAATATATGCCAAATGCTCTGAAGTTTATCTATGACTTTAACCCTCCAACTATGAACAAAATGTCTCCAAATAAGCGAGTTAAATTCCTGTTCATGTTTTAACATCACGGATGGATACAGCTGTAAGTGTTCTCAGGACGGATCCATTAAGAGCTGATTATCCAAGGAGTTCAGAGATGCCATGGTTAGAGACATCATGGTCAGAGACACCATAATCAGGAACGCCATAGTCAGAGACACCGTGGTCAGAGACACCATGGTTATAGACACCATGGTTATAGACACCATGGTTAGAGACACCATGGTTACAGATACCATGGTCAGAGACACCATGATCAGAGACACCATGATCAGGAACGCCATAGTCAGAGACACCATGGTTTAGAGACACCATGGTTAGAGACACCATGGTCAGAGACACCATGGTCAGAGACACCATGGTTACAGATAACATGGTCAGAGACACCATGGTCAGAGACACCATG